TTAGTGAATATTCTTAAACATACATAAGTAATTGCAAATTCTATCTCAAACAGCCATGAAATAAGAAATTTTCAAACATGCACACTAGGGCTCAAAAGTGGCGCCCAACATTAGGCTTCTTGAAAATGATGCACACAATGGCAATCCTAATACTCACTACCAAACCTTTCGCAAAAGATGGCGCTCAGCGCCATTCTTCTTGCAAAAAGTCATGCTCAATGACACCCTCATTCCCCTCATCATCCTGAAACTAAAATTTTCTTGACCTGTAATGAAAGATGGCGCTTAGCGGTGCCCTACTATATCTTAATGCTAAAGCATTCACATTTTTCTACGCTCAACGGTTCAAAAATGACGCTCAATGGTCTGGAACTAAAATGCTCTCAGACCTACATAATAAACTAACACTCAATGTCAACCTGCCACTGTTGAATGTGGTATCAGATATCAACAAATGAATTTATGTGATTTTGGGAAAAAGGAACTTGTTTAAATGATCAAATTGGTATTCTTTTCTTAGTTCTTTGGTAAAAAAACAATTTTTAATGTCGAAGCATATATCAATTGGCTTAATGATCAAGTCCTAAGTTCCTCAATCAACACAAATTCAACCAAGACAAACAACATATCAAACATCTAAAACAAACCAAATTGAGTAGATCAAACATCAGCATACAACTCAATCATGCAAATCAAAATTTCAAGATATCTATAACTTAAAAGCAATGCAATTAACTTCCTTTACGTGAACTACAATCAAACAGCTTGAGAACCCTTAAAACACCCTCAAACGCACATGAAGTTTTATCTTCCCCTATAAACAACACAAATACGATCATGACATACCATTAGGATCACTAGTCAACAAATATTAGAAGAGAAAACTCAAACACTACATGCAAGTAAAAAATGGTCACATGTAGAGAAAGAACAAAAAAACCAAGAAAATGGTAGAAAACCAACTTACTTTGTTGGATAAACTAATCGGACAAAAGTGGAGAAGTCACTTCAAGGATCATCCTAACGGTCTCCGATCTTCAAAATGATGAACAAACAATGAGAAAATTTAGAGAGAAGAGAGAAAGCTTTAGATGGAAAAGGTTTAGAGAGATTGTGTGTTTTTAAAATAATAAAACTTGTTTATAAGAATTCTATTTAATGCTTTAAACTTTTATTATTAAAATAATTAAGCCCTACCATTTTACACATCAATTCTAAAACACGATTTTTAGACTCTTACACTAAATTACTAACAAATTTTACCAACATATGAATATTTTTGTCATAAATAAAAGTTGAATTTATAAACCGATATTACCAATATATTTTATTGAAAATACATTATTAATGAATATTTTCATTAGTTAAAGTTTAAAAAATATGATAATTATATATATATATATATATATATATATAAACATGACTCAACATCAAAATTTTTACTACAAAAATTTGTTTTGCTTTGAGATAATCTTTTAATAATAATGTTAAGAAAAAATCGTTTGTAAGACTAAAATGTCTAAATGCTCTCATATGTTTTGAGGTTTAACAAAACAACATTAAACGAAATGATCATATATGAATAAGTTATCACTAGAATATCAAAACAACTTAAATATAGGTGATAAGTTAATACTGAAAACCTAGTAACTTAGGAAAGTCTTAGTAAAACACTTAGGCTTAAACCAGACGCAACACTAAATGATTCCAAAGTTAAAGTGTTAATGAGAGTCATGCGAAACACAGAAGGTATATTGAACCAAACAATAATTAGTCAAACTCTCAAATATGTAAGAATGTAAAAGTATCGAGACAATATTTTTGGTAAGCCATTTGAAAGTCTCAATTAATATTCCAAAAACTTTTGGAAGACAACTCGCTAAACGTTAATGCTAAAGAAAGCATAATCTTAAAAGTATTTACAATAAACTAGATACCACGAGCTAAACCATCCACTTCATCCAACGATGAAGTCTTCAATTATGTTTGGTGTCTTAGTAAAAAGCTTAAATTATAAAATGCTACCTGAACGGTAGAAATGTAAAAAACACTTTATTTTCCTGAACAAGCATTAAATGTCATTAAATGCTCAATGTTAAAAAACAACAAAAGTAACAAAAGAAAAGACATATATGCTGCATCCATATCTACTATACTTTGTGGAGATAACCTACTATACGCATCCACTTGCTCCATCGGATACATATTAGAAGTGGACGCTAGAAACAAAGACGACATTTACGAAATGTTCTCTCCATCAGAAGTTGTGCTAGAAAAATAGTACAACCTACTTCTATCAAAGTACTAAAAAAACAAGCCTACTCTGACAAGTTGACTTTAACCAACGATTGTTGCACATGACAAGACTAAGAAGACACAAGATTTAAGGCAAAAACTTAGTCTAACAGATGTCTTTTTAGAAGCCTTTAAATAGAAGATGATTCGAAGAGAATCAAGAGAATAACTTACAAAAAGAGAATAACATACAAAGGGAAAAACAAATATGTCCAGAGAAAAGAACATAAGAGCTCAAGAACTTAAAGAGAATATCTGAGAAGAGGAAAAACTCAATTCAAGAAACACTGTCAAGTTTCATTGTAATATAAGCTTACTATTTGTAAGTAGAGAGAAAAGAGAGAAAAACACCTAGCGAGTCTATAGATTGAATTGTATTAAACATATATCCTCTCTGTGAGAATAATCGTCTAACAACTTGTAAGCAATCAGATTGATTACACATTCTGAAGAGAATTAAAACATTTGTTGATTAACTTAGGTGAGTTAAGGATTACTAGGCAACATATCATGTTGATTCTAGGATTATTTAGTGAAAACCAAGAGTGGGTGAAACTCAACTAGACTGTGTAAAGTTTATACCAGGAGCGTCTAGGGATACCAGGATTGGTGAAGAATACTGCACAATCAGGACTGGGTGAAACTCAACTAGGTAGCATATCATGTGGATACCAGGATTGTCTAGGGATACCGAAAGCGGTGAAAATACTCAGTTGTAATCTTGTTGAAAATTATAGTGAAATCCTCTACGGTTAGAGGAGACTCGATGTAACTCAATTAGAGTGAACCAATATAAAAACATCTATGCACTTATTGTTTTATTCTCTCTCATTGTTTTTCTTAAAAAACTTGCAGTTGTACTTTCATGTCTAAAAATTTTAAGCCATTATACATTGCTTCACTAGTAAAAAAATAGTTTTTTAATGCACCTAATACGCATCGGTTTTACAAAACTGAAGCATATTAAAATGCGATGTCATTTTCGTAATTAAGACGAACTTATACGCCTTGGTTTAGTGAAGACTGAAACCTATTCACTCTACTGCCTCAGTTATTTACGAAATCGAAGCATAAAAGCCTCTACAAATCTACCAAACCCTGTAAGTCAGACTGATAAGTTTTCATCAAAGCCCTACTGCATCAGATAGCAAAGGAACCGAGTTAATAGCGTTCTTCCTGCCTCGTTTATTTGTTGAACCCAGGTAGTAGCCCTTTTACTTGTTCAAATTACTAAAACCTCTTCTTTTTCCCCTAGCACGCCTCCTCGTTCTTCTTTTTCCCTTGCGACCTCCATCACCACTAGACGAACCTCCACCACCAAACGCATAGTCCTCGCGTACTCCATTTCTCTCGCGCAAAGAAATCTCCACTTCATAGTCACCATGCATAATTTGGGGAGATACTGCCTCGGTTCAGTAGGAACCGAGACGAAAAGTCCTTCGAGAAAAAAAAATAAAAAAAGAAAAACTGTACTGCCTCAGTTGTGTATGAATCGAAGCAAAATCCTACCTTTTTTTGCCTCAGTCGGTTCAGAACCGAGACAAAAAACCTACCTCTTTTTGTCATGTCAGTATATGTCTCGATTATAGAACCGCTGCCTATAAGTGAAAATAATCGTTGTCGTTTTCCTTGAATGCACTAGTACTTAGAACATGAAACTATGAAAGCATTAAAACTGAAACTTCAAACTTCCATTAAAGCTTTGGAAAGATTCCAAACGTTTTCACTAATGGGATCCTAATCCTTCAAAATTATTTATTATTATGATTCTTTTAATAGTATAAAATGCTAGTTTGATAAACGGTGGGGAGATCCCATCTGACTTTCAAAAGAAAACCCTTTCCCTTTCTCTCGGGCCCTCATACAAAAACAAAAATTCCCACAAGTTTTAAACAAAAACTTTCAAAATATTTTTATATATCCATAAAGAGATTCCATACAAACAAATTTAGATTCTTTCTTTCACTGTAGGAATAATTTTTCCTTCTTGTGTGCACACACTTCAATATAAAACCTCTAGTTGAGATTGGTTTAAATATGAACCACAATTTCAACATTTTAAAATGATTTCCATCATAATCAGTTTACTTTAATTAAAACAAATGGACTCTAATTATACAACAATTAAGTGATTAGAGGAAGAAACTTCCAATACTTGTACATTTAAATAAACTTTATTTTTAATCAGTATATTTACACTATTATTTATCTAAAAACAGCTTATACTTGTATTTACAGTATTTATCAGTGTATTTCAGTTAAATTCTTTTAAATATTATTTCAAATATGCCATTTAGTAAAACTTCTCCGGTTCGTAACTGGAGTTATTTTCACTATTTAAAAGCAGAAACACAAAAACCAGAAGATATTTGTTGGAGGAAATCTGTACTTGTGTGAACAAGGAACACAAAAACAAACAAAAAATATTAACTATATGATATAAGTACAAGACATGCAAAAATAAAATAAAATTAAAAAACAATGGATCCCAAGAAAGAACAACGTTCGACCACGTGTCGAAAGATAAGAGGAACCAATTATAGGTCAGTGTTTAGTGTGCAGTGGACGGTAACGTACAATGAATTAAAGGAAAACGACGGCGTTTCATGGAGCCACTTGGTGGAGTCATATCATTCGTTTTTCATTATTGACGTTATTCACGTAATTATGCATATAAATACGTGGCTTTGGGAAGCGTTGTGTATACCAAAATTTCTTAAGTTATTTAACTTCTCCCACATTATACGACGTCGTCGTCTTCTTGTTCTTCTTCTCTGCTCTTTTCTTTCTTTTCTTAGTCTGATTTTGATTCCATTATCACATCACAATGTGTGGTATTCTTGCTGTTCTTGGTTGTTCTGATGACTCTCGAGCCAAAAGGGTTCGCGTCCTAGAGCTCTCTCGCAGGCAATATTTTTTTTCTATTATTCTATATAATTAAGTTTAATTTACATGCATGATCAGTATAGTGTTTTCGTATGTTTACTCAATCAGAAATAGCATAAGTTTTTAGAATAATTAACGTAAAAATAAATAAAATTGTCAAAACAGATGTATTTTGAGGAATGAAAAAGCGAGAGAGTTTTAATGGTGTAAATTTTTTAGATATGTTGAAATAGAAGACGCCACTCTATTTGCTCGTTTGTAGATTTTAAAATTTATTAAATTCGAAGAAATGGTCAGTTCTATTTAAAATTTAATAAATAGGTAAATGTTTTATTTATTGAAAATTGAAGTATTATAATTTGGACGGACATAAAGAAAAACATGTGACCAAGGTGACGAAAGTTTGAACTTTGTAGTGGAGCCTCAAATTATGATTGTTCTCAGTCAGTTAGATTGACAAGGTAAGTGGGCAACTATGAATAAAATATATTATAAAATAAATCACACAGTTTGTTGTGTTTATGTATAATATGTCTTCAAATTTCAAATTAATTTTTAATTTTTATTGAATATTGTCTTAACATGTTATATATATTTTTTAAATTCATTTAAAAGTACAATTTAGTTGGTTTAGAAGTCAGTATATATATTTTTTATCAATTTTAATTTAATTTAGTTTAGTTTCGTCTCCGAAAAAACCAAATACAGATGTGAGTTGTGGGATCTGATTGAAATGCAATTATTGGTTATATTTGGTGGGAAGCTTCCAAAAAGTGGATGACGATTGAAATCAAATAATTGAAAGGGATTAGTTATGAGATCATTCATTAGTTGTTTTCTATACTAATCTCAGTACGTTTGAGAAAAAAAAAACATGTTTTCTCAATTTCACTTCTTTTTATAAAACTAAGTTAACATCAACTGAAATTTAGAATAATTTTTAAAACACTTTTTTTATAAACCTATAAATTAAATTATTTTTTTAATGTTTCTGCCTCTCAAATTTGCACAAACATTTCCTGTCTAGAAAATTAGTTTTGTTACTCACACCAAAATAATCATTCATAATTACTAAACAAATTTAACTTTTAGAAGTTGTCTCAAATACATTTCATGTAGAACAACATAAATATATATTAGTAAAAATTGAAAAACTTGGGTAACATAGTAAAGAATATTAGATTCTTTTTATGTTCATAACTCATTGATATAATAGTGTTATTATAATTTATCTTAAAGAAAGATAAATATGTGTTTTTTATAGTTTAGAAATCAAGATAACAATATAAACTCAAATTAAGGTTCAAGTGTAATAATCATATATTATTATAATAAATAAATTTACATCATCAAATATATATATATATATATATAATATATATATATATATATATATATATATATATATATATATATAGAGAGAGAGAGAGATTTATGACAAAATGAATAGAATTATTATACGGGTTAAGTTATGATTGAATAATGAAACAATTAAGAAACTTGTACTTTCTTATATAAATATAGTATTTGTACGAAATAATCATAACTAAAATAAATATGTTGAAAATCATAGCACCAATAAAACATTAATATTTTTGTTATTAAATAGATTGGGTAAATAATGAGAATTTATATTTATTGAATTTTGTTTTGTTGTTGTTGAGGTCACAAACAGATTGAAGCACCGTGGGCCTGACTGGAGTGGGCTCCATCAACATGGTGATTGCTTTTTGGCGCATCAGCGTTTAGCCATAGTAGATCCAGCTTCTGGGGATCAGCCTCTCTTCAACGAGGACAAATCCGTCATTGTCACGGTAGGCCATAACACACTCAGCAATAATACTTCTACACGTTACTCCCTTCATCTTATTTTCATTTTCTCAATTTTTATTACCATGGTGGAATTCATTCAATATACCATAAAACTGTAAAGAAAGTATATAAAGAAAGATAATGACCTAAGTATGAATTTTTTTCATTCTAGCATAAATATATTAAATAATTGTATATTTTAATTTTGTTTGTTTCAAACTTTTAATATATTTTGTTTCTAAACTTTAAAAATAAATAAATATAATATTTTCAATCCAACAAATAAATTAAAATAATTATATTTATTCATTTTGTAATTTTGAGAACCATTTGATTCTATTCAATTACGTGGGATCTATTATTAGTTTTCTATCTTATTTAACTAATTCAACAATGGATGTAAACCACTACTGAAACACAGGTAAATGGAGAGATTTACAACCATGAAGAACTCAGGAGACAGCTTCCTAATCACCAGTTCCGAACTGGAAGTGACTGTGATGTTATAGCACACTTGGTTAGTCATCTTTTTATTGGAATTCATTATCATGCTTTAATTTTAAAATTATTTCCATAAATTAAAACGCTTTCTAGAAACAAAATCATCAAGAATAAGCAATTTCATTAATGATTAATCTCTACTAAAAAAAATCTCTTTGATTATTTCTAGTAAACAAATTTCTTCTACTTTAGACGTTTTCTATAAGATTGAATTGAATATGATTCCTATTAATGATTACTCTGTTTTTAAAGATTTATACATAAGCATTTATTAATTTGGATTCCTTAATTTTAATTTAATAATTAAGATTCACTTTGATTAAAATAATTACATAAAATTATACCGTGAAGATTAGTTGATGTCACGTCATGATATGTAAAGTAAGAGGAGTGTTTTGGTAGGAAAACGACAAAAGAAAAAATGTTAGATGATTTAAAATATATACAAGTCACGTAGGTTTCTTAAGTTGAATATTTAAGTACTTTTTAATCTTGATTATACTAATATAATTATGTGGTCAGAATTTAATGTTAACGGCGCAGTTATGCATGAAAAGTAAGATTATTTAACTTAATGAAAAGAGGTTTTTTTATGACCATTCCTTTCAATGATTGTAAGTTTTTGTGAGAAATTGAAGAAATCATGGTTGAATAATATGTAGTTCTTAACAAGTTAAAGTTATTGTGTTTATCTTTGGAACAGTACGAGGAACATGGAGAAGACTTTGTAGACATGCTGGATGGTATCTTCTCGTTTGTTCTTCTGGATACCCGTGACAACAGTTTTATAGTGGCTCGAGATGCTATAGGGGTCACTTCCCTGTACATTGGTTGGGGATTAGATGGTAATGGTGTTATACTATGTCTCACTTTTGAACTGAACTCGTGCATTTCTAGTTTCTCCTTGAATTGAGTTGAATAGAATACATGAAGAAGATGATACAAGTTTGGCATCTCTGTGTTCAGGCTCTGTTTGGATTTCGTCTGAAATGAAAGGCTTGAACGATGATTGTGAACATTTTGAGTGTTTTCCACCTGGTCACTTGTACTCGAGCAAAGAGAGAGGGTTTCGCCGATGGTACAATCCTCCTTGGTTCTCTGAGGCTATTCCATCTGCTCCTTACGACCCTCTAGCTTTGAGACGTGCCTTTGAGCAGGTAAGATTCACAAAAAGTCTAAAATCTTGTTTGAATAACTGGTGAAGTGATGCAAGAATTATTGTTTGATAACTTTTTCACGAGTAAAGCTGACCAGTGAATGTGGTTTCAGGCTGTCATAAAAAGGTTGATGACTGATGTGCCTTTTGGTGTTCTACTTTCTGGAGGTCTGGACTCTTCATTGGTGGCATCCATCACTTCTCGCTACTTGGCTAACACGAAGGCTGCTGAACAGTGGGGATCAAAGTTACATTCTTTCTGTGTAGGACTTGAGGTGTACCATCTAAGCAAAATTATGAGTCACATTGCATATTTAACGTATGAAAACATTTCATGTTTCATTAATCCTTTGTCATCTCGTGCTGAGTAGGGCTCACCAGATTTAAAGGCTGCAAAAGAGGTTGCTGACTATCTTGGCACTGTCCACCATGAGTTTCACTTCACTGTTCAGGTAACTTAGTACATGAAAGGTTATTTTCACCTCACAATTTGAGGGCCCTTCAGTTTATAGATATAATGATTAGTGAATAAATTTTTGTGCAGGATGGAATAGATGCCATTGAGGATGTTATATACCATATTGAAACATATGATGTGACCACAATTAGAGCAAGCACGCCCATGTTTCTTATGTCTCGGAAGATTAAATCACTAGGTGTGAAATGGGTTATCTCAGGAGAAGGATCAGATGAGATCTTTGGAGGGTATCTGTACTTCCACAAGGCACCCAACAAGGAGGAGTTTCACAGAGAAACATGCCGCAAGGTCATAGCTTTATCATGCTCATTGATTCACACAATATAAGGGTTTGAAGTACAGTTTTTAACAGAATAACAATAGTAATGTTTTTGTTATGCAGATCAAAGCACTCCACCAATATGACTGCTTGAGAGCAAATAAATCAACATTTGCTTGGGGTCTAGAAGCCCGAGTACCGTTTTTGGACAAGGCGTTTATCGATGCTGCAATGAACATTGACCCCGAGTATAAAATGGTACAGGTTAAAAATGTGACTATGTTTGAAAAATCTGACAATTTTATTAATCTGGTATACTGTTTTAATGCTTCAGATAAAAAGAGATGAAGGACGAATTGAGAAGTGGATTCTGAGGAGAGCCTTTGATGATGAAGAACATCCATATCTGCCAAAGGTACTATGTAATTTTCTGAAATGTGGATGTATATATATATATATATATGTACATACATATATCTGCAAAATTGGTTGGTTAAACTAATATGTACACAATTATTTTGGTGCAGCACATATTATACAGGCAGAAAGAACAATTCAGTGATGGAGTAGGGTATAGTTGGATTGATGGCCTCAAGGCTCATGCTGCAAAACATGTATTGAATACATCCTGTTTTACATCACCGTGTTCATGATTTTGCTTATTATAACTGGTTCTTGACATTTTTTTCCCTAGGTGACTGACAGAATGATGTTGAATGCTGGTAACATCTACCCCCACAACACCCCAATAACGAAGGAAGCATACTACTATAGAATGATCTTTGAGAGGTTTTTCCCTCAGGCAAGTTAATCAAACAACTCTGAATTAACAGCACCCCAGAAGCTATTTTGACCGTATAACTATCTCTGACGTATATTCAGTAAGAGGTAATTGAAATATGTGTTTGTTGGTTTGTTTGTGCAGAACTCAGCAAGGCTGACTGTTCCTGGAGGAGCAAGTGTTGCATGCAGCACGGCGAAAGCTGTTGAGTGGGATGCTGCTTGGTCTGGCAACCTTGACCCTTCTGGTAGAGCAGCACTTGGAGTGCACATCTCAGCTTATGACAAGCAGAACAATTTAGCCAACAAAGGTGTAGAAATTGAGAAGATTATACCTATGGATGCTGCTCCTCTTGGAGTTACCATCCAGGGCTAGTATATATCAAGCTCTGTGACTCAGAATAATTGGCGAGAATGAAGATGATTAAGCTAAACACTATGAAAAAATCGCCTGCTGTGTGATTTCATCTTGGCAAAGCTTTATATATATGTATGTATATATATAAGGCTTTCTACAAGAAGTGTTCAATGTAGTATTACCTTCAATTCTGTGATTTTAACTCTTAATAAGAGTGTTTCTTTTGTTAAATATAAATGCAAAATTCATTATCTCATCCGTAGTGATGTTTTAATTAGATCCAATTGTTATTATATTTTCTAGTTTTACTTTTCGCAAATTTTAATCATGTTTCCTTTAAAGAATTACTAGTTTTCCCCTAAAAGTTTAAATGGACTCGAAATATTCTTCCTTATTTTTTTTTAAAGCTACAATAAAAAATATAAAATAAACTTTAAAACAGAGTTAAAGAAGATGATTTGGGTGTTAGAATTATAATTTGACCTAATTATTCCCAAACCATATCAATCCACTTAAACAACACTAACCTAAAAACTACACGAATAATTATTATTTGATTAAAACCTTGAAATTAACTATTCTTATGCATTAAGATTTAATTAGAGGAAAACATTAATCATAACATAATATATAATATATGCCAATGTTTTACATATTTGTAATTTTTCTATTACAAAAATATAAATTTTGTACAATATTAAAAATTTTCCATTAGAATGAAGAATTATCTCTCTTTCTCTTTTATATATATATATATATAT